TTTAACATATCATTTTTACAGTACTCATGCATATATGAAAAATAAAGTGTCACGCATTTCTACACAAAAGTTATACATGATTAATATATGTATGAAAACACAGTAACATACATAATTAAAACAAAATTTATATAATATTCATACAGATATAAAAAAAATTCTATTATTCATTTCAAATTTATAAAATGATCACAAACAAATCAAAAATAACACAAAATACTAATACATACTATGATTACGCAACATTGATACACAATACATACATTGATCTATACCTGTTGTTGCACATTCGATGTTGTCTCTTCAATTATCAGCTTGGTCGAGTTATCGATGTAATTCTTGATTTCAACCATGTGCTTGTCAATCTTGTGAATGTATGAAAAAATATATTAAAATAATAAAATAAAACATATAATAATTATATTATTAAATTTAAATGTGACTGGAACTAATATTAGATTTGAGCTCTTTCAATTCCGCATAACATGTTCATTACAAAGTAATAAGTTTGACATGTATAATGTAAAATTTTAAAAATATTACAATCGTATATTTTCATTTATACCTCTGCAATTTCTGCTTTCAAATCTACGTATTTTTGTTCAACATCAACGCCATACTTTTTCGAGGTTCCTTGCTCTTAAGAATCATGGTGACTGGGAGATTGATTTAAGGTGGTCTCATCCATGACATTTAACTCTTCTTCAGTAAAAATCATATTTCTGAAATTATGTTGCAGAAAAGAAAAATATGAGAATGTGTAATAATTTATAATTACTTTAGTAACAATAAATAAAAAATTACTTGAATGCCATGTGTTCTGAATATCGTTTTGCTCAAATCATCAAAAAAATAACGTCATTTGTTGTCTTCCAGTTCAGGATACACGGTGTACGATCTGAAGCATGGATAGCAATTGCGTTGTCAAATTGAAGACAACACTCATAAAAAAATACCTGCAAGACTATATGGAACTGGCTGAACTTGAATGATGAAGGATTGTTTTGCAACTTATGAGTGCACGCTTTAAGTGTTAAATTGAAACACTCATTCCCCCATGGAAATGTGGCATACTGGCCAGAATCAACTAAATCAAAATATAATTTGAAAATTGTTGCTTTTGAAGGATCTGAAGCAGTCAGAAAAAAAAATGAAGTACAAAATTCTGATTTTTAAACGGTCATCCTCTTCCCAAAAGTTTTTCAATCTAAACTTCTAGTAAAAAATTGACTTGGGGACTTTGTCCATATTCTTGAAATTTTCTGCGATAAGTCTATTAGGAATAGACGGATCAGAAACAAAATAAAAAATTGGTCCAAATTTTAGACCGGTTACAACAACAAAAATTCTTTTAATTCAAAGTGTAACTCTGTACCATTTACACTGTCATCTCTGTCGTTTTCAATTTCAAAAAGAAAAATATGGCGCAATAATTGACATTCATGGATAATTTCATTGAGAGGAATCAGCAAAGAAAAGAAATAATGTTATATAAATCATATCAAATGGTGTTTCTTGTAAAAATTGTTGGAACTTATTGTGTGTGGAGCCTGATCAATGTTTAGGTTATACTGTACATTCTCCATTTATTCTCTGTAACTCTTCATACTCTGAATCACTAATATATACCCCACCGCCGTGGAAGTTTACTCACGGGGTGTTACCACGAACTATTGGTTTCTCTCTTTCTCTATCTAGATCTCTTATCTCTCTCTCGAAAGTTCTTCTGTCATTCATTCATCAAGTGTGTGTGTGTGTGGATTCGATCCTAACACTTATCTTGATCGAGGAAGGTCAACAAATCAGCGAAGACAAATTTGTTTGTACCTTCTTCTCCTATAAAATTGGTAAAACTAAATTAATACTTTTAACATACTATATAATTTCATAGAAAAATCATTGATACACTGCCATATAATGGCCAGTCAATTCAATTCATACACAAATCATACAAACTAATACATCATTTCATACATAAGTCATACAAATATTAATACATATTAGATTTTCGTTAAAAACTAATATGTGACTTTTAAACTATAAAATAAAACTTATACAGTACCAATATATTAATTCATACATCAAAATCAAAACATAAAATATACACTGCTATATTAAATGGACAGTCAATTCGAATCATACTCAAATCATACAAATTAATACATCAGTTCATACATAATTCATACAATATTAATACATATTGAATTTTTTTTTAAAAAAAACTAATCTGTGACTTTTAAACTACAAATAAAACTCATACATACATCAATTCATACATTAAAATCAAAACATAAAATATACAGTGATAATATGTATTATAATATTCAAAATTATACGATATACAACATTAATACATCATTCATACATTGATATTCTAATGGACAATAAAATCATTTCATACACATATCATATAAAGTTAATACATCATTTTATACATTAATACATATTCCTGTATTGATAGAGAATCAATTATTTCATACACAAATCATGCAATATTAATACATCATTTTATATATCAAATTATACACAGCTGTATTCTAGTTATATCATATACAAATCATACAACATTAAATCATACCATATATAATTATAATATACAATACTAAAAACTCAACTCATACATAAAATAAAATATACAAATTTCATATAGTATAAAATTGACAAATAAAATCAAAAATTAAACACACTTACACAACACATTTTAATCAAAATTTGAAATAATCTTTTTACTGACCTTAACAACTTTTTGGGATTTATTTGTGGCTTGTATCTCTGACGCCTTTATTGAAGACGTTTTTGTTGATCTATCAATTTCAATGCCTTTTTTTTTATGTTGTATTTTTTTAATTCGTCAACAAAGTCAGACTCGGATTCTGACGATTTTTGAATTTCTTTTCCTTTCCTCTTCTTCCCTCTTTCCTTTGCTTCTTTGTTTTTGTTTTTTTCCATCTTCGGTTTAACGAAACTAGCCGTCTCTTTTCCAGTTGATTTTTGCGGTTGAGTTTGTGTCAAAATATTGAATGAAGGAACATGAAAGTCATCAAATAGTGACTCATCGACCAATCTTCTATTTTTACAGGGTGTTTCACTACCTTTCCTCGACATTCTATACGAACTTAATGTGGATGTTTGGGTTTGGGGATGAACTGATCTGTGAGGGATGATGGAGATGGGGGATGAATCAGGCGTGTTTGAGAATTGATGTATGAAGGGTAATAGCAATGGTGATCAGTCACGGGATTTGGGGGAGATGAAGATTTAGACGTGTTGGGGAAGATGGCGTGTAATGGGTGAGATGGGGGTGGATAGTAATTGGGCAACGGTAAAGTAGGGATTTAATTAAAATCAAATTCCTATAATTTATTGCTTTAAAAATGCAAAATGGTCTGGTGGAACCTTATACTTGTATCAGTTGTATTCTGAAGCCTTTTACTTATCAATTTGTCATTTGGACCCTTAAACTCAATAAAACACAATATGTCGGACTCTTCTGACCATTGACCACGCTTATGTGGCTTTAAGATGGCTGAGTTGGCGATAGTGTGTGATTTCACACTCCTTAAGGCGAGTGGATGACATTTTTGGGTTAAAAAAATTAAAATTATATAATAAATAATTTTTTTAAAAAATAATTAATTAAAAATTTCTTCTTCTTAACCAAATATCCCATCCTTTCCACCATTTTCATCCAAAATCTATGGAAAATCCATCACAACCGTCGTCGTCATTTTTGCCTGCGTAATCGATAAACTCTCTCCCTCACCTGTCTACATCTCCACCGCACACCATCATCATTTTCCATTCCTCCTCCAACCTCCACAAAATCAACAACCTAGTCATCCCACCACTAGATCTGACCGAAAAGCCTCTTCACCGCCATCACTTCGCACCCTCACCACATCGTTCTTCTCTACATTGATCGGTGTCGCCTCTCTCTCCCTTACTCCGCTGTGAAATAGTGGTCTCCGGCGATTGCGATTTAGTGATCCGATTTATTGCGATTTAGTGCTTCGATTTGGTAAGTTGATGTTAATAGATTCTGAAGAAGAAAAGAAAAAGGTTTTGTTTGGGATAAAAATGGCTGAAAATGGTTATGAAGAAGGGAAAAGAAAATTGATTTGGCATGAAATTTCTCCATGGATTTTGACAGTGAACTGGAAAATTGGATGTATGGAGGTTTCATCTTTTTTCATTATAGCTCCTCAAGATCTTCACCACTTTTTCTATCATTAAACAGACATATCAATAGATCAAACAAAACACAAAAAAACATATGAAAATGCAAAACATGAAATTGGAGTAATGAAGTTGAAGAAAATGGTGAAATAATACTCTAAAAATTGAATTAAGATTTTATTATTTTACTTTTTATTAAATAATTTTGATTAATAATTTTTAAAATTAGTTATAAAATAATTATGACATGCATTAATATATTTGACGTGGATATGACATGTGATTTATGAGAAGGAGAGTGAGCTACACACATGGTCAAAGGGGTTTAAAAATATCATTTTGGTTAGATTCAGGGGTCCAGATGACAAAAGGTTAAGTAAAAGTATCCAGAATACAAACTAATACAATTATAAGGGTCCACCAGACCATTCTGCCTTTTATTAAAGATAACTATATAATGTGAAATTTAATTAATAATAATTTATTATTTATTTTAAAAACTCTAAAAGGTAAATGTATAACAAATCACTAAAAATTTAAAGAGTTTGGTTTAAAAAAGATAGCTGAAAAAATAAAAGTAAATATTTAAACATATTAATTATTATTATTTAAATAATTACTTATAATTTATTTTTAATAAATATATTTTTAATTAATATGATATAACTCGATAATAACCTGCTATAAGTAGTTTAATTTTAAAGAATATAATTATAACTTGATATATATCATCTTAAATGTGTATGAGGTGTTATTGTTATTTCTTAAAACCGACTCTCTTTCTCTCTCTCTCTTTCACCCAGTAATGCACAAAAAACAAAAAGTCAGCGACCACAATTTCCAATTAACCTTCATGGTAAAAAAATCAACTATCGACCAAACCAGCAAAAGTCATGGGGAAATTAAATCCAGTTTTCTTCCTCTGCCCGTAAACTCTACTCTTAACTCAGCTTTTATTCTACAGAACATACATTGATGCAAATTTCCAGTGACTTTTTTTTAAAAAAAACTATCAAAAACTATCATACTTTTCTATGTGATGATAAGGTAGCATAATACAAGGATCAACTGCTATCCCACCGCGAACACCCAAAAAAGAAGGCAGGGGGCCATATCATCAGCTACTATTCTTACAATGACTTATATTTGTCCTTTGGATTGTTTTGTGCTTCTATCTTCAACTTCATCCCTCAAGCAAGACCTGCACCAAAATGAACAATTTATTGTAACAAAAACCAACAATGGTGAACAAGCAAATATGTAATTCAACAGAAACAAATTGCATACCCATTGTCAGCGCCTAGTTCTAGCTTGCACCGAAATATGTAATTCAACAGAAACAAATTGCATACCCATTGTCAGCGCCTAGTTCTAGGCTTGCACCGAAACCCAGCTAAGAGTGCTATATGATCAGAGGACCACTCTGGAGAAGGAAGTGCTGTGTCTTTTCTCAAGCTTTCCTCATCCAAGAGCTCTAACAACGATTCAACTGTTACAGAGTCGGCTGGAAGCACATATTAAAACCATCAAACATATTGGTCTAAACACAATTCTATAGTTATCACCACATGCAGAAACATAAAAATGGAATACAAGTCATTAATGTAAAATATCTTAAAGACAGAACCATGCAACCATACCAGAATAGAATATATAATCAAGAGTCCCAAAATGATCTCTGGTGCAGCTTGTAAACAAAGGTTCATTCGTACTGGGATCAAGCTTCCTCCGTTTCTGAGCTAGTCCAGGAACCACAGGTACTCGGGCAAAGGATGTGTAAGCACTTACCTGTACAGATATATACCAATATAACCAATATAGTCACAGTGCTTATTTAGTCTTCTCAATGATGGAGTCTAATACAAAAATGTATATATGTGCTCATGAAGGGTAGGGACATGGCGAAGCAAACATATCTACTATGAAAGACAATGGAAAACAGGAGCTTTCTAAAGTCACTGAAGTGGATACCAATGGCAGATGATGTGTTAACTTTGTGGCTGGACGCAAAATACCAAAAGGGTCCACTGCTAACTCTGGATGCATTGGATCAACTTTCCCCATTGAAACAAGTGCATGAGGAGCACTGCATTTCCAAGAGCTTTTATTAGTAATGTTAATGTTCCAGCCTGATTTTTGCATAAAATGAGGAAGTAATAGAGGTAAAACTCTTAACACTGCCAATGAGAGAACATGCAATTATAAATCAAGAAAAACATGAACCTTCCAGGCGCTGAATTAAAATCGCCACAGAGCAGCATTGGAATGTCAGCAGTAGCAGCAATTTTCTCTAGTCCTTTTAAAAGTGTGTGAACCTAAATGCAAACAAATTGCCAATCAAGTTTCAAGACTGAGATAAAATGAACAATTTAATTTGTTATCCAATAGTAACCTGCCAAAGTCTGACATCCTTTAACTCTTGATGAACATTTACATGTGTGTTAGCCTGCATTCAGAAATGAAGGAATGTATTCAGTAGGTGCGCTAGCAGAAGATTTTCACCAATTTAAGTGCGGCCCATAAGAGATTCATAAGTAAAACTTATGGTTGCTCCAACTTTCACAATAGCATACTGGAGACTGCTGCCTAGGCACAATACAAGAATCTTGTAATGAAGAAAAGTTTTCACCAGATCAATTGAGTTCACATTAACCACAGCATGGTAAAACTCTTACTTAAAGGAACTAGTTCTAAAATTGACCTCCTTAGAAGAACAAAGATTCAAGGCCTTATTATTTTCTCCAGGCATCTAAGTTAAGTTACCAATATAGCAGCTGAATACCAGTCATTTCCATGGTACTTCATCAATTATACCACAATCAGAGTTAACAATACGTCATGGAACACAAGTAAAAAAGGCATGTGGTACAACATAAAGCATTTTAAGGTAGAGAAGAGGAACCAGAGTCTGATTAGGCTTTGGTTTGTGTCAGCTTATCGCAACATGTGGTCCGCGTAAACTAGGACTGTTTCATGAAATAAGCTCAAAATTGCCCTTTTGGCAGGGAAGAAATTTGACATTTTAAAGCATCTTGTTGTCAGTTACTATATTCAAATCTGATATCACTCTCACCAATCACCAATGCCCAGACGCACAAAGAAAATGAAAAAGGAAAGAACAAATGTGTGTGAGAGAGAGCATAATTTCATTTCCACCATGTGATCTGAAACAAAAGGGAGGAGTAACTTATGTAGCAAGCTATGCAGAAGGTGGCACTCTTTCAGGGGTTGCTCCAAAATTAGCAGTTTATGTTAAAGATCGTTCTTGTTTTTCCCAATAGAATTAAATGATTAAAGAACGTTCTTCGTAATTTGCATATTCCCAAAACTGTTGTGCTTTATTCCTAGAGGCTATAGAGAAAAGCAAATTATAAACTAACAGTCCTTCTAAATAGTCCTATTTACTAGCTAGAGTTGTCTTACTACCCCCTCAACTATTAATCGAGATATTTTGCACGTTTACTTACTAACCTTTATTTCAAGAAGATGGAGATTCTTCTTTATTTTATAGAGAACCGGATATTTTCAAATATGTCAAACTGATATCACTTTAGAAACCTAAGAGTATGATGGACACGTCTCCAAAGGACACAAATCTACAATAGTTCAAAGGCCTTCAACTACCCCCTCAACTATTAGTCAAGATATTTTGCAAGTCTAACAATCCTTTATTTTAAGAAGATGGAGATTCTTCTTAAATTCTAGAGATCAGGATTCTTTCAAATATATCAAATTGATATCACTTTAGAAATCTAAGAGGATGATGAACACGCCTCCAAAGGACACAAATCTACAATAGTTCAAGGGCCTTCAACTCTGTCAACCAGGAGAAGATGCCTATCGGTCAAAACATAAAATAAAGATACAGGCAGCAAAAGGACATGCCATATTGCCAAATAGTGCTTCACTCGAAAGGAAAACATGAGACCTACAGCTAATCATAAACATAAAAACGTGAAATCTTCTGCAGATCATAAACACTAAACCGTGAAATCTTCTGCAGATCATAAACATTAAAACATGAAACCTTCTATAAATCATAAACATTCAACATGAAACCTCCTGCAGATTATAAACATTCTTAACCTAAAGAACCTACACTGAAGCAAATATAAGCACTAGGCAAACTACCTTCATTTAAATGACTTCTACTCGTTTAAAGACCCTGGGATAATATTTCCAGGTCAGATGCAAAAGTTTCCACTATTAAGATCTATTTTGACAACTTCATTCGTCGTTTCTAGAAATTTCAAGTCTTGGGACTATCTGGATTCATCAATACAGTTTCTTTAATCTTAATATAGATGACACGGAAAGGTGCTCCTGACAGTAAGAAAATTGAAACAATACAATGAAAATCATAGAGAAAACGGCATTGTCAAAAGCAGACAACTTGAAATAATAGTAAAATGGTTGCTGCACGACAATGAAAGTGGCTGAGTTTATTCCATAGATGTACAGAACAGAACACAGAAGTTAACTCTAAACAGAAAAGTGAAAGGAGCACCAGGTTCCTTACCACACAAACAAGTTGACGCTTCCCAGTGTTGTCAACTCCCTGGCTATTGAACTTTGCTTCCAGAACCACAATAAGTGCAATATTATCCTGCCAAGCACACATTAGTGAGATTATAAGCCCAGACCTGAATGAAAATCGTCATAAGCCAACAAGGAATGTGACAAATTCAACAAGATACCTTCAGCAAACGATTTAATGCGGTCTTCTTTTGGGCGCTGGGAACTAAGGCTTCAGTCAAAGATTGAGCAGCTTTGTTGAACTCAACCTGCAACACGCGCATACAAAGATTCTTGTCACAATATCAATGCACAAATTGTGTTATGAGTAATTCCCTTTTCAGGAACATACTGTGCTTCCATACCTCATATTTTTTAACATGTGTGAATCTATCTCGGCGGAAAAATGTGGCACAACCATCAACGGTATTTATATTCCCACTGATCACCTGCATAAAGAAAAAGAGTCATTAGAAATCAAAAACTTTCAGATGAAAACACACTATGCACCACAAACCTCAGTTGTTTTTCTTTTGAACAAAGCTTGATAACCATGTTTGTCCAGCTCAGGAGCAAAGAATTCTTCAAAGTGATCACTCTGAACCTGATAATAGAAGCATACAAGCACTAAGATACGGGTATTTATAATTCCATAGGCAATTCACAAGATCATTTAACATGACAATATACTGGTAAGTATATACATCTACACTTGAAGAAAGAGAAATTCTTTAAGCTAAAGTAGCTGATTATGCAGGCATCAAATTCACAAATTCAATCCTCTAGATTGCAATATAGAAGCAAGAAGCGACCCTCCTAAACAATTACATAATAAAATTTTAGCTGATGTGATAGGAGGTACCTCTTGGAGGCAAACAATGTCTGCACGGTAGCCAGCTATTTCACGCAATAGATTTTGTCTCCGGTAAGTCCAAGCAAGAGCCCAAGAGGGGCAATAACTGTACAATTCATTTGTTGCATATGCATCAGACAGAATGTTGTATGAGAGCACAGTAAAAGTTCCTGAAGATGATAAACGACTATCTAAGTCCAGATGTAGTGGTATATCAACTCCACTAACTGAAATCAAGCGACGTGGAGTAGGAGATGGAGCAGGAATCACTCGAGACATCATGGTACTAGCATTTCCAACAGTTGATTTTGTTACTGCATTGATGATAGCACATTCAAATTTAAGGGTGTGACCAATATCATCTGCAGATGGGGTGTAAGTTTTAGAGTGTCCAACTTCAAACCAGGTTTCACCACCACTTCTTTGAGTTACAACTACAGGAAAAGGTGTTGTTCCATTTGTCAAGCTACCGCTTGATTGCGAAGAAGTCAAGCTTGTATTAACACCAGATCCTGTATTTTCCTCATTTCCATTTGTATTCACAGCACTAGCAGCACGTTCATGCAGAAGACGATGATGCTGCCATGCATCTGAGAAACATTTTGGGGAGCAATGGTAACTCTTGGCAACAGGGATTTTGGCCTTCACACATGCAAGGCACTGCAGTGTAGCTTGCTCAGATGGATGGATGCTGCACATGGCAACATGTTTATCACTTTGTATTCGGTACCTGCAAAAAATAAAGAATATATCAAACAAGTAATGAAAAAGGAATTCAATAGATATTGCTTCTCTTGGCAGCAAGGAGAAATAACAGCTCAAATCACATTTTTTTAGTGGAGAAAAGTATAACTTCAGTTAAAGAGCCAAATAGCCACTGTCAACTGACACTATTAGTCAAGCAATAATTTCCATGATATCAACTATAAAATATGGCAACCCCAGGAAGCAATCCAGTACCCACATGTGGTTGATTTCTGAGCAGTTCTCTTGGCGCCCAAATGTGGTGGACTGTTTCAGGGATTTTCCGAATTTGTTTACATGACCGAAAAAATTGTTATGGAACCAACCAATCATAGCCTTTGAAACTCAAGGATGGGTCCACCCTCTACCCTTCTACACCCAAATACTGGACTAACTTTGGTTAGTTCAGGGCTTGGACTTGTGACTAGATACAAGTACCTCAACAATTGCAAAATGAACTAACCCCTGGGGGGCAAAAAGAAATTCATACTTTAAAAAACAAGGACTTTGGAAGCATACATATTTCCATATTAATATGCACTACGTGATAAAATCTTGAGGAATAAACCATCTTAACATCGACATACAAGCCTGATAGCAATTAGAAACGCACTTAAATACATACATGTGTGTGTGTGTGTACACACACATCCGATTTCAACGTTTTAATTCAAATTTAACAACTTTTCTTATACACTGCTTCAAATGGGAACTATGTCATCCATCAGAACAGGACAACTGAATGAATGCCACAGACCAGTGTCACCGGTCGATTACTGGCCATTAATATCCTAAACATTAAACATATTTTTTGATAGATTCGTAATCATTAACATATTCATCCACAACATCTACATAATTCTCTGACTGCAGTTTTTGTTTAGTGTCTCTTTCTGCAAGACAAAATTCATGGCCGGCATTGCATACATCTTAGAGCCCTGTTTGGATTGGACTATTTAGCTGTTTTTAAGTTAAAATAGCTTTTAAGCACTTTTGGAGTGTTTGGATATCAAAAGCAGTGCTTATGAGCACTTTTTTTAAATGAAAATACAAAAATAAGCCAAAAGTTATAAGTTCGAAATTCTAACTTGAGTCTTTTGGCTTATAAGTCAAAAGCATTAAGCACATCCAAACAGACTCATAGTGTCTCATAAGCAAACTGTTGTTCTGTTTATTGACTTCATACTTGTGTACATAAATAATGATTTCACACGTCAACAAAAAGATGGAAAACAACAAGCTGCAACACACTAAGCGCACATAGGGACTTTCCTTAATAGTGCACCTATGGCAATTGCACAAAAATAGAGATGCACATTTATTTTTAGGTCAACTCAAGGAAATATAAAAATTAATTCTCCAACGTTTAAATGAAGAAACAAGAATGAGCAATATTTTAAACATTCTACAGGTACAAAATTCCAAGGGCCAAAAACTTTTTAAAATGATGCACAGTACCGTGTTCTATCGCTAATATATAAAGTAACTTTTATTGATCTTTTTCTTCCACCACCAAAATTCAATTAATTATTTGCAGTTCTTCGATAAAGAAAAATAAAATCTGCAGTTATCCAAGTCTTCCTTCACAATCTACCGTGTCATTTGTGTCATATACCTGCAACTAATGCTTACACCAACAATGCGAAAACATATTCAGAAGGTAACTATCTACTAACTATTATAAACATAAACAACCTGATCTTATGATAAGTATCTCCTAATGCAAAAGATAAACTTAAAAGGAAGTTATTGAGATACAGGATACAAATATTATCAAGAGAAGATCATAAAAATGTTACTTTTTCTTTAGCTTATTTTTAACTAAGTTGCTCGGACTTGAGTGTGGGTATCCGATACGGGTGCGGGTCTAGAGGTTGGATCCTCTATGATCTAAATATAAGATTCGGGGATATGGATCCATGTATGGATACAAGTGCTGAGATTCAGCTAAAACAAATTCAAATATCTAAAAGAAGAGTTATAAAACCTAAATTATGAGATATTATGTGAAAAAGTTGAGGAGAGAATAAGAGGGGTCATAAAAAAAATATTGATCAAGAGGATTTTATGAAAGGAGATAAAAGGAAAGGGAGTGATAATAGAAACTTAAATATACAAGGCATTTCATTTTCTTCAATTTCACCTTACTTTTTATTTCGATTACAGAAATTATTGAATCTGTCCAAAATTACTTAGTCAAATTTGGTCAAAACCCATTCACCAGATCAGATATGGTCCCACGCCCACATCGTATCGACATGGGTGTGGCACCAAGTGAAGAGTCTGAGCAACTTATATTTTTTATAACCAAGAAATCCCTGAGTAGCTGGAACAAGGTTCCTTTTCTTTTAGTTTGTGACAACGAAAATGTTTCATTAAGCATTGCTTGTTTAGCTATTTAGATCATAAGAACCTATCTGGGAACTTGACACTGGGATAGGATCTAAACAATCGTACTTCTCTATGTTATATTTCAGATCTAGTTCAATTCAATTTGTATTTAACCTTTAAAACATTATAAAGTTGATGATTCCCACCAAGAATTTGATCGCCGGGTCGTGCTAATTCCATACGAATCAGTACTGACTCTCTAAGCCCTCGTCTTTACAGGAATTGTCGCAGCTGAGTGTAGATGACTTCCCGCAGATTGTTTGTTGTGCAAAAAGAGGATGTAATAAGGATTTCATCTTGTCTGTGGCAGATCTACTCATCTAGCTAGATTATTGTAATAAATAGTAAAAAATGATATTTAAGTATACAACCTATTATGTATGGAAGTACATATAAAAATAGACCCTTTCGCTGATTAAATTGCGAACATCTATAGTTCACTCGTTGAATTTTATATTTAGGAATTATGCAGGCATGTACTACAACATATAGAAAAGATCCACAAGTCAAAGGTCATTAGAGAAGAATAAAAATGCATAGTTCCTCTAAAGGTTATTAAGTTATGTCGTCCAGACCATCCAACAATGCATGGAAGCTTTTGATAAGTGGAATACGTGGAATTTTTTCAATCCAATTTAGTACATGCACAATACCAAAAAGGGGAAATTCCAGTTACATCATCTATCATATTTCATCAACAAAAAGGATCATGTTGTACAAATGAAGTCGTGATTCCTTCAGAAAAGGATTATGCACTTGAACTATGGAAATCAGTTTTTGGATTATGTTAGCTCCTCAAGTCCTGTCTTGGGAGGTAGACTTGATAAACTCAGTTCTAGATGCTATTCCTACATATATGTTATCTATCGTCCATGTAACTCAGTCAGTAGTCCAAAGGTTGGACAAAATCAAAAGAAACTTCACTTGACAAGTCAATAAGGAAAAAAAAGAATTTCACTTGGTCCAATAGAACATCTTCAGAAGTAAGAAACATGGTGGATTAGGGTATCAAGAACCTCCAAAACCAACGCAAAGCCCTTAGAGTGAAGTGGCTATGGTCTATGGAGTTACCATCAGGAGAACCAAGCCTTCGGGTACAGGGTGATTAAGAGAAAGTATGAGGAATTGAACAAATGGGTAACTAAAGTGGATAATACTCCCTATTGTGTTGGCCTCTGAAATCTATTAGAGTAGTTTGGCCTTTCCCCAGTAATCAGTCAAATGACAAGGTTTAGTTTGGCAGAAAAACAGTTTTTGGGATGACAAATGGATGGGTGTTGAGAGCCTAAAAGATCTTTTTCCAGATATCATTGCTTTGGGCCTTTGGCTCAACATCAAGATGAGATTTTTGCTGGAATGTGGTCACAACAAGGATGGGATTTGGTCCTTGAAAGAAATTTGAATGACTAGGAAATTCCCAGAATGATTGAACTTTATAAGTTACAGGAGAGTCTTCAAAGAAAGAGATCTTAACTAGTGTTATAGGAGAGATAGATACTTCCCTAAAATACGCAGGATGTGGTATGTCACACCATATATTTACCTCTATATTTTACATAACTATTAGTCATAAACCAAAATTACTTCCTAAAGCTAAGAAAAGAACGACTCTGCCCTGTTTTTCTTATTAATTGATATGGTTTATTCATTAATTTCTTCTTCATTTACTTGAGCCGAGTATCTTTCAAGAACAGTTTTTCTACATCCACGTGGTAGTAGTAAGGTCTATGTACACTCTAAGCTCCCCAGACCCACTTAGTTGTTGTTGTTGTTGTAAGCTAAGACAAAAATGAAGTTAAGCTTTGCCACAAATGTCTAGATGTCTTTCTGCCAAGGGGGACTCTGGGCTATAGCAAATCAAACAACTTGAAGTAGGATTTGCTTCATTAGATCAAATACACATCAAATGCTCCTATGGCTAAATACAACAACTTAATTTTACCTCCTGACGTAATCAGGCCCATCAGAGCTCTATTTTCTTTATAAAAAAAAAGGAAATGGTCCTAACACTTTGGGACAATATCCCAGACTCTACCATTACACCATTATGGTATTTAGTCGCAGCTTACGAGCAAAATCAAGCCTCAACACATTTCCAATTATACCCCGGTCAAACTTTTCAAATGATTATTCGAAGGATTGGGTTGGGGTTTGGAGGAAGGGAGGGCAGATTCAACAATACATTTTTATAATGGTGGTGTCTGGACCAACTTGCATGCACCACAAGTATTTTGCAGGTACTTGCTATCTCCCACTAGCACAAATATTGCGTTGCTTTGCCCGCAGAAAATTAGTCAAATGGGAAGAAATCACCTAGTGTATTTTTAGTCTTTATTGAGATCTAATGGAGTTTCCAATACAAATCTGGTTGTAATCATATTTCTTGAATGAAAGATAAGGAGCAATTTAAAAATATCTACAGAGATGTTGCTCTCTTCCAGAGCATATAACATTCATTCTACTACTCACAGTCACAACCGTAAACCCATGTTAAATCTAATTTCCTTCTCAAAAAACATATCCTAATCTGACGATCAAAAAGTATGCTTGAAAACAGCCTATTTGAGAGGAATTAAATGGAAACCAATAATTATCATCTCCTTGGAACAACTAAATATAATGCCATTCATGAGCCGCAACAAAAGTTCAGTTCAATCCATAGAATGAAAAACAATCAAATATAAATCAAAAAGAGAAGGTTTGGCATAAAAAAATGAGGAAGTCACCAAACAATCTACAAGAAAATCAGTTCAATCCATAGAATGAAAAACAATCAAATAAATATAAAGAAGTAGAAGAAGAAGAAACTGACCACTTATATCTCAAGAAACAGCCGTAAACAGGGGCGGATTCAGGGATATCATCAGAAATGAGTAATGAATCAGGAAGACGCAACAAAACATAGGGGGTAAGTTCACAGCCTACTATGGGAATGTCAGACGGGAGATGAACCCGCACCACAGTCAGCATTGTTCTCCTTCTTGAAAAATATTGAAGTTAACGCACTGTTTTCTTTTTCTCAACACAACTGCAACTTCTCCTAGTACTAAGTTTAAGTGAGAAAAATCCAAGATATAATGGAGATGCGGCGTATCTGCCATTCAACAGACTTCTGCGACAATCGCCAGTCTTCTTTGCCCTCAATATCAACAACAGCAAAATAGTATATAATATCACCAACAGCAAAATTTGGATTAAAATCGAATAGATCTTCAATGAAAATGGACAAAACTACAGAGAAATCAATGAAGATTCAATTTGTTACTAAGAGACAAATAGAAAACTTCAGAGAGAGGAGGGGAGAATCGATTGATTAGATGTGATTTTAGGGTTTTACAAACGGAGAGAGAGGAGGGAAGACACTAGTCTAAGCTTTTCTAATTTTCTATATATATATATATATATATATAAAAGCCATTAAATTTGGCATAATTTGTTTTGAAAACATTCGTAAATAGTCACTATAATAAATTTAAGAGAAAAAGGATAAATATATGTCAAATTATCATATATGGTATGCAAATACCCTTCGTCATACTTTTGGGATATTTGTGCCCTTGTCGTCCAAAAACTAGAACATTATATGCTCTTCACTCTAACGGAAGACTAAATAGGAACACGTGGCGCCATCTTATCCGTCGATAAATATTGGATCGGTGGATAAGATTATTATATGTGTATATCCGTTAGTATAAAAAGTATATATGCTCTAGTTTTTGAACGGCAGGGGCACCAATGTCCCAAAAGTATGACGGAGAGTTTGCATACCATATACGATAATTTGGGGGTGTATTATCCTTTTCCCCTAAATTCAATTATATTTTATAGCTACAATTTGTATATTTATGAGTTGTAGCTACAATTTAAGTTGTCTCATTTGTATAATTCGCGAATTTATATAATATGGCAGGTTTGTATAATTCGTTGGTACATTTGTATGATTCAGTTTTTTTTGTATAATCTCGAATAAAGGCATGACTAACATAATCACTAAATCTGATGCTTAACAAAGGGGACTTATACTCCTACTGGCACGTAGTCTGGGACTATGAGTGAATGATGAACCCTAGTCCTCTCGATGCTAAGTTTACTACCAATTGAATATGTATATGACACAAATGTAACTGAAATACTTGATAGCTCAAAATACTGACATGTAATACGAGAATGCAATATTTATGTATTAATAGTGTAACATACAAAATTTGGAGCATGATTATTGTTTAGCTGACCTGACAAGTATAATTTGTGAACTATGAAAATTTATATAAACTAGGGTTCTGAGTTTCATAAAAGGAATTAAGCAAATTTTCCAAGAAATAAGCTTATTTCAATTTAGGAAAATACAACATCTAATTCATGGTAAATATCTAAGGTTTTAGAAACCCTAGGTCTGAACAAGATATGGAGAATCAAGGAACTGACTAAATTTTAGGAATCTAGTGGATGAAAGGGACCCACTAGTGAACTCCTACATACCTAGTGGCGAAATCTCCAGAGAAATCCTTTGATTTCAGGACTGAATCCTTCAATTTAAGAACGTTGTTGCTTGTTCTTGAAGGAAATGGACGCCTCTTTCTCTTTTTTCGTTCTAATTTAGATAAATTTTGTGGAATAAAGTTTTTGAGTAGATTCTGACTAAAATATTAGGCTTAAACTGAGTAAAATGACATAGTTTAAATATTCAATGCATAGGAAAAAGACAAATTGATCCTAACTTAAAAGCTGATGAGCCCCACCCACGGAGTCGTGAAGGAACCATGGTACGTCGAGTGGGTCATGATTGTTGGCCAGTGCATATTGGTTCTGGACCTCCCAGCCACGATCCACTTCACCAACCGTGTGAAGGACCACAGACCGTGAAGGCCACTGTGGTTCTTCACTTGAGCTAGATGTCTGTTGGTTTATGAGGACATACCCATCCACAACTTGTCATTGGGACCACAATTCGTGGTGGGCACCGTGGTCCATCGCACTGGCTAGGTGTGAACCACAAATAAGTGACGGAACGTTGTCCCTTCACGATCGGTGAACCTTTTCGTGATTCAACCAATTTTCTGTTGTTCAGGTCTATTAGATTTTCGAGGTGTTACAACATTGATCAGACATAGCTTTAGGAAGGATAACTACGTAGCAGATACACTAGCTAAGCAAGGATCCAAGGTAACAACCTATGACAAGGCTATCCTTTTGCAATCTCTATCGTACTATATTAAAGACTAGCTTGCTAAAGACATAAATGAAGTTATCTCTATTAGAATAATTATATCATCTATGTGTAATAAGTTAGCTCATTTGAGAAACATTGCAGTAAATACTAGCTCGTCTAATGTATTTAAAAATAATGGTTTATGCATGTATATTAGCTCTATTTCATTTTATATGTATTCAAATTTTGATTATACTGATAATAAAATAATTATCGCTTTTAAAATATACGTGATTAATAAAAAAATATATATTTTAAATAAAACGTAACTTATATAATAATAATTTTTAACATAAATAGATTTTCTATCACCGGTAACATATTGATAAATGAACTCTTATAAATAAATGTACATAGAGAAAAATATTGCGACTAAAATACTATTTAAAAAAAGATAAAATAAAATATGATTAGAAATTGGTTGTGGACTTTCCTCTACTTCCACGTGGAAGTGGAGGTGGAAATGCAAATATTGATAAAAATTTGGCGCGTTTCTATTATAACTAACTAACCAACTGTATTTGAATTGGAGTGAAAAGATTCTTCGTCTGTTAGATCTCCAGAACAGTAATTTGTTTGTTTTTCTGGTGAATGAATGGTGATTATCTCTGTATTTTGGTGATTATCTCTGTATTTTGATGATTATCTCTGTATTTTGAAGGACGAATGACAATGGCGGCTAAGCAGAGACTTGTAGTGTTTGCAATTTTACTCTTTCAAGCTGTTGCCATCACTGACGTTGAGGAAGGTATATATTTGGTTACTTCATTGGTTGATTTGAGCATTTATGTGGATTGTGATTGTGATTGTGATTTTGCAGTAGAAGCACTGAGAAATTTTTACAGATCCCTAAACTGCCCTACACAACTTAACAATTGGAAGTTAGAGGGAGGTGATCCTTGTGACGAATTATGGACTGGGGTTTCATGCCATCAATCATCAGTCATTGACATGTACAAATCTTCTTCTTCTTCTTCTAATAACTAATACATCAGCATTGTGATTCACCGGTTCTTATTTTCCTGCAGTAAACTTCAAGGATTAAGTCTCACTGGTAATCTTCAAGGAGATCAACTTGTTCGTCTACAACACTTGAAGCACCTGTACGTTTTTTCTTTATTATTTTATCTCCAAGGATTGATTACTTAGTTATCTCATCTTGTTTTTTCTTTTATGTAGAGATCTTAGTTCCAATCATTTCCATGGAGAGATACCAAATAGCTTGCCCACTAATCTCACAGATTTGTAAGATCAATTTCATCTTTCTCAATTCCTTCTTTTACCTATACATTCTCAATATATTCTTGTTCTGGTGGATATAGAAATTTGGCGGCCAATTATTTTAATCAAACAATTCCACATACCGTCACTTCAATGAAACATCTCAGGCACCTGTAAGCACATTCTCTGTTCAGCTTCTTTACATCTCTCCTATTTCATACTCAACTCCTAAATTTTGTTAATTTTTAATGCAGAAATCTGAGTCAGAACCTTCTATCTGGACCACTGCCAGATGTGTTTGGTGGCTTCGACAACCTTATAATGATGTATGATATATTTCTTATTGATGTATGATATATCTAGTGAATCTTTTTGTCTTTGGAGTAAAATTTGTTCCAAAAAAATCTCAAATTATCTATGTTATTGCTAAGTGCTAGTATAATTTTCTTCAACAGGGACCTGTCACACAATAACTTCAGTGGAGATCTACCTGTATCATTTCAAACTCTGATGAACCTTTCAAGATTGTAAGTTTTTCACATCTGACAATATGCCTCCAGTTTCCATTTTCATTTGTAACGAATGAGGTATTGTGGCGTAGGCATCTTCAGAGCAATAAATTTACTGGATCAGTAATTTTTCTGGCTGACCTTCATCTACATGAACTGTGAGTTAGTAATCTGTTTAGTGAGTCAATCAAAAAGCTTAAACTGTCACTCTCAAATTTATTATATATGTGTCAATTCAGGAACATTGAAGATAATCATTTTAGTGGTGTTATTCCTGAGAGCTTTCAAAATATAAACAGCTTATGGTAAACAGCTTTCAGAATTCAAAGTCTACTTGGTATATTTTGCTTTACATTTGGATAGCTTATGTCTTTCCTAATAATCAGGATTGGAGGTAATCAGTTTCGCATAGGAGTAAACTATCCTCCCTGGAAGTTTCCTACTGATGTTATGCCCAATGAGCAGAATATCTCTAGTCCTCCAACAACAGAATCTAGTGCCATTGAGAAATACCCTTCTCATGAATCAGGAGATAACAGAAAGAAAAGACCAGGCTCTGGAGGAATAGTCATTATGGTGGTTGGAGCTGTGATGACTGTAATTGGTGCAGCAGTCTTCGTTGCTGTTAGGACTCATCGGTCTACAAAACAGACACTCGACAGCATAGGAGGCAGCTTAAGTTCATTGCAGTCTCTTCCAATTAGTGCATCCCAAGGTCAGAGAAAATTCTTCAGAAACACTTCAATATACCATTTTCCTCAACTTGTTTGTGTCAAAGCTTTCGCTAAAATGGTTTCAAGCTGACAATTTCGCAGAGCACTTCGCAATTGTCTGTTCCTAGCAGATAGAGAAATAGTACACCAGACCTAGGCTCAGGTCTTCTCACTTCTGGATTGGTTTTCCAGTAACATCTCATGCATGAAAGTTTTGTTGATACAACCTATTCTGACGAAATTTTGTTCATGGACAAATATAATGTGGTTTTGTTATCCTTTCCCTGCCTAAAACTATCAACTCCTGCATGTTTCTTCTAGTAACTCAGCCAGCATTAATATTTCCCTTCTGCATCTTGTGTGTGCGCTTCTATCAAAGTTGAGGTTTGTGAGATTTTATTATCATGAAGCACAATCTGGATAATGCCTAATGCACGTAAAATCAGTTTTACAGTGAAATAGCTTCTGTGAAAATGAGCTGCATTTCTCAAGGAGTGTTTTCTGGTGGTTTTTCATTTTCTCATCATCTCAGGTTCTTTAGTTGCTGAATACGATAGGCCAGATTCCTCTAGCAGTGACTCTCCTCCACTGATTTCTTCATGGAAATTGCCACCTGCACCAACCATGACTATTAAAATGTCGAACAGAAGAAGTTTCTCCAAGAAGTGCAAAATCCCAATCTGTGCCAAACTCTATGCAGTGGCAGATTTGCAGTTGGCCA